TGCTCCACACTTTCAGAGCCCTAGGGAGAAGCTATGAACAGCATCACTAAACTAGTCAACTTTCTCAGGGCTTCTTCATGCCACCAGCATCGTCTGCTCAGGGAATTCTTCGATTGAAGTAGATGTCAGTGACCTACTCCTGCACTCCAATGTCAGGATGGTTGAGTAAAGGAAAAGTGCTGGCCCCTTTTTGGAAGATTAGAAATGAAATCAAAGATTTCCTGGCACCACGAAGAAGTCACAAGGCTAAGATGGTTTTTTTTTTCTACTCTTGGGAGGAGGACAGGAACATGGGCGCACTGGCTTTTGTAGTTGACATCACAGGACACGAACATGACCTCAATGTCAAGTTTCAGGGAAAAGATAATTCAGTGTGTGACTGGGTGGCCGCTGTCCATTTTTTTTTCAGAAGAAATTGAACATTCTGAAAATGGATCTTGATCAGGACTGTACATGTTTTCCTTCACAAAGGGAGATTCCAGAGTCTGACCTTACTGTTCTTACTGATTCTTTAATATCCAGATTGTTACTTGAATTGTTACAGTTTTTGTTGTCGTTTTTGTTTGTTTGAGAAAAGATTTTCTTCCACTCATATTAGCATTGCTTGAATGTTTTGCATACATTTTCATGTGCTTTGTTCTCTGTGGAACTTTATAAGTACTTGCACCACTGTGTTTAAAAGCTTTGCAGGGTACTCATTCGGCACAACAGAACTGGGAAGGTGCTGGACGGGGCTACGAAGATGCACAGCCAATCAGCTCCCGGGATATATCCACGTGTGCTGTCATTGGTTGATGAGTGCCCGTTGCATATACAGTACAAGCACGTGTACAAAACCTCTGAGTCGTTCGGCATTTTTTTTTTTCTGAAGACAGTACTTTGGAAAAAAAAACGTGATGTACTGAAGCCGCGATAAATAAAGTGCGATATAGAGAGGGATCACTGTATTTGAATCAGGTGTGTTGCTCCTGGCTGCCCTGCAATTGGCTGGGAACCGGTTCTGGGTGTCCCCCGCCTACTGCCCGAAGACAGCTGGGATAGGCTCCAGCACCCCCCACAACCCTAGTGAGGATAAAGCGGTTCGGAAAATGAATGAAATGAATGTTGCTCCTGGCAGAGCTGGAAAACAGGCAGGACAGCGGCCCTTGAGGGCAGTTTTGACACCCCCGACAGTATACAGGGATGGCTGGAAATCCGCCGTTTTATTTCTTAAATTGATCATTTTTGTGAATCGTCTAAATCCGTTGAGAAAATTTTAGGGGGGATCAGGTACCTTATCGTCGAGTTTTCACGAGCTCTCCCGATCAGTCTTTCCATCTTCCGATTGTAAACAGCCCTGCGATTGGACGTGTATGATGTCTTACTTGTTGTGATTGGTCGCTATATCGGCAAATGCAAATCACAACCAATCCGTGTTCGCCTTCCTAAACCCCTTTGCCGCGAATGCCGAATGTTATCGAGACTCGCGACGAAGCTAAAGTGCGTCAGATAGATGCGGATCTGAAAAACACGTTTCGATGGGACTGGTTGGATAGAAAGCTGACGGTATCCCCAGTAGGAAACAGTAAAGAGGAACCATCGTGCTTGTGTCGAGTTTTGTGAAAAAGCTCGATGTCGCCGGTAAAGCTCCGTGTACAGTGTGTGACGATGTCATTCTATACAGATCGAGAGGATGGAAAGCTTTACAGAGTCACGCAACATCGGTGAAACACCGAAAACAGACATTTCTACTGAAAAGTAACTACTCGATCTCTAGCGCTTTTCGACAGCCTGGAGCATGTGTAAAAACAAGAGGAGTTGGCTAAAAAGAGAGTCTAAAAAGACAGAGAGGACCAATAAGCTTTTAGCGCTTGCTAAAAAGCTTAAAATGAAGAGAAAATAAAGTATTCTACCCCATGAAACTGTATGTTTTGATTTTGAGCAGCAAATTTGAAGTTACATAGTAGTGCTCACCAGGAATGCATAAGCAAAATTGCACAAATTTTCACTTGAAAGAATAGTGAACAATCTTGGGATTTTTTTCTGTTCAAGTTTCAAATAGTGTGTAAATTGAATACACTTCATCTTCAGCATGTTTAGTGCCACTTTTGTAAGTGGCCACGCCCCGTCCAGGCCACGCCCCCTTCTGCCTTTTTCATCATTAGCCATTGTCATCCCTGAGTATACAGTATATATGCTGGCTCATGTCACTTCTGGTTTCATCCTTAAAAATTTGGTGTGACTTGTAGAATATACAAAGCAGTTGAAGAGAAATAAACTGCCATCAATAACAAAAAAAAAAAACAGGAACATTTTGTACTCATTGCAATCCAGTTGCAGACCGGTTAACTCGGTTGCATGAGTGTTGAAGACAGACTCGCCATTTTTGCATCAATTCATGTAAAAAAATAAAATAAATAAATAAAAGAGAATTCTATGCATGAGCTACTATTGACTTTATGTGAATACTGGTGTGAGAAAAAGAGCATAAAAGACATTCATAAGCGACTTGCTGGAAAATTACGATGAAGAACCTAATGAGTCCTAATCACATAATCCTCGTGTAAGTAGCGAGCTAAAATGTGGCAGCAGCCCTGTAGCTCTCAGGTCCCAAATCTGGTAACTGTCACCATGTTGAAATCTATACTTATTGGAGTTATTTTAGTGACACAGGGCTCTTTTGTCCCTTTGTAATAATAACTGTGCAGCTCTGACAACGGGCCATTGTTTCAGTCAATATTAGCATGCATATTGTCTCATGTAGTGCGACACCATTCCTCCACGGTACAGTGTGAACGTTGTTTAGTTGGCACCAACGTCTTCTGGTGTTGGAGATGTCAAGCAGTGCTATACGTTTATATATTGGAGTCAAATCTACTTGTAGGGTACAGTAATCCCTCGTTTATCGTGGTTAATGGGGACCAAAACCACCTGCGATAAACGAAAATCCGTGAAGTAGTGACCAATTAACATATACAGGTAAAAAAAATATATATCTTTTTTTTTTTTTTAAAGTCCGCAAACGGTCTGCGAGAAGCTG